TTTCTTCTGCTAGCGAGCTGCCTGGCTCTGGGCAGGTTAATGAGAGAAAGGCTGCTGGGGGGGGGGCGGGGGTTGAGAGCTGCTTGGCAAAGCTGAGGAAAATCTGTCTCCTGGTGGCGATGTGGAAATAGTTATAACGGGTTTGTTAACAGACTTTATACCTGGGCTTTGAAAATTGTGCTTCCAGAGTTTTGGTTTCGTTTCATTTCGGTGGAATTTCACTCAAGGGATTTTGGTGCCAAGTGCTGCACTGAATGTGAGCAAAGCAGATGAGCGTTCTCCCTTGCACAGACACTGGAATTCAGTGCTGACTTTTCTCCAAACCAGCACCATGGGGGCCAGGTTGTACTAAATCAGTGGAGCATGAGCGGCAGTTCCAGCTGATGTGGTGCAGAAGGTGTTTCACCTTCCAGTATTTTTAAACGTGCCCAAGGCAGATAAGAAGAAATTGTTAGTAATCAATCCCTGGTCCTTTAACACTTACCAGGGAGCTCTATCCCGTTGTCCAACAGCCAGGTAATCTGGGGCTGTGGTTTACATCCTTGGGTATAGCAAGACACTGTAATGCTTCTTTCTGTGTCTCGGGATGCGCCCAGTACTGGATTAGAAGGAGCAGCTGCAGCAAGAAAATTTAGAATTAGTTATAGTTCATCCTGCTGCTTGGTTTTATGAATGGCAGCGTACATAGCGTTATCTGGGGGGACTGATCCAAGATAGGGTTTATCTTGTGTTAAGCACCATACAACTGCATGCAAAAATGCAGGTCTGGAGTTGAGGAGCTGGCTTTGTTGCTCTGCTCCTCTGGAGCAAAGCAGGCGAAGGAACTTACCTAACACCTTAACAGTCGTCGTCTTGCTTTTGAACGGGCTGCCGTAGTAGAAGCATTTATATACGCCTTCATCGTACACTGTTACATTCGACAGTTGGATGGATAATTCATCCTTTGAATAATGGATAAGTTTGTACCTCTGGTCTCTTAAAGCTGTAAGGAAAATAAAACCCAGCATGCTATGCGTGTTGGTACATAAGAGCAAGACAGATAATCAAAGCCGTAATGAATGAGGATAGTTTTCTTTATTGCATTTTTTTAATTCATCAACCCTTGACGTAAGGGAGCAGCTCTAGCACAAAGCATTCCAAGCTGGTGCTGCGCTAGTAGAGAGGCAGCAGTAAACCGATGAAGGGGATGTGTGCTGCCAGCAGGGAAAATGTCATGGGTTTTCTGGCTTTTATTTTCAGGGGGTCTTGTTCCTGGGTTCCCAGCAATTTGAGTTCTTTAAGTGTCTAGATGGATAAATATAAGCCAACGTTGGGGTGTGAGGAGATGATGTGTGGTTAGAAAAGTAATATGACCTCTGAATATAGAGCCTAGATGCATGAACTGAGGACCTTCCTCATTCCCCTGGCCTTTATTTGGCCTTGAAAAAAATCACTTCCCCTCTTTGGGTGTATTTTGTGATATATAAATGAACACTATGGTCAGCACACACCTCTTTATTAACTGCTTATTAATTGGCTGTTTTGCTTCTCCTATCCTTGTCTAATTACCTTGATTTTAATGAGACCATCTCCTAGGGTACCTGTACTCTGCTGTACAGTCCCCTTTCTCTCTCTCAACTTCCTAGTCTTTGCTCCGTTCCTCCTGCTGGTTGACTCGTGGGAGTCCTCAAGGTCAGGCCAGCAAGTCACGTGGACTGTTCCCACAATTGCAGCACAGAAAGTAAAACTTTCTGCCCTTAAATTGAACCGAAACTGGGGATGTGTACCAGTCATCAGGGAGAAAAAGACCTCCAAAGCTGTCTGTTTATTTTTTTGGCTGAGTTCTTGTAAAAATGCAGAGTTGGGAGAAAATCACAGCTGTACAATAATTTATGGAAGTTATTGAATATGAAAGGATTTTGAAATCACCATGATGTAAGGCTTGTAGCTAGCCTGTCACATTTTTAGGTACAATGAGACTGGAGGGAACTGATTCATGAAGTGGTTTATTGGAGAAGCAACGTGACAGATATTCACAGCGGTGATTCAGAATAAAACATGAAAATATCCATGCATGCTGTAAAGCTTGGTTTCTCTCTAAATGAGGATTGTTTTCTTCTGTGTTGCAAAAGGAAAAAAAATTCAATGTGTCTGATTTACCAAGGTTCCAAACGCTTTGCAAACTCTAAGTCCTTGGGGGTGTTATATCATGTGTCTTATGGAAGGATGATTGTGGGATATTGAAACTATGGCCTGAATCCTCAGGTGATTTAAGGCAGATACTGGTTTGTTCACTTGGGTTAGGGTCTGCTCCTATAGATACCAGTGGATACATTCTTCCCCTAATCTTACTAAATTGCTGTGTCAACTCAGCAAAACTTGAAGCATCAAAAGGGCTAGAGCCATTAAAAGATGGAGATGACATAGAGAACTCGCATAAATGAAGGGATTCTTGCTACTCTCACCTACCTCTACGGTGTAAAGTGCTGAGAACATAGATATATGTCAAAACCAGAGATAACTATGGAGAGGGGAATTCCTCCTAGGTCTAGTGGCTCTTGGGTGCGATTGGACTAATGGACTGCAACAGCAGAGAGGAACCCCTGCCACAGCCTGCTGTGGTTTTTGGAAGTCTGGATGCTTCAGAGCAGCACAGAGTGGGTCGCAATAGCCCTGTTTCCCATATTGATTAACTGTCAGTAGCCCAGCACGGAAGTTTGTTGGATCCCATTTGAATCTACTGGTTCATCTGCATTGTACTGAGAGTACTGAACTGGGGATCCTGGATTCCACAGGAAACAGTTCCTAATATATGCATGTGTGAGTCATTTAAAATTGCTAATGAACACTCATCCCACTTGCTCTTGTAACTGAGTAAATAGGAGCAAAAGCTACTCATGATGTTTTCCATTTAGAAATATTGGCAATACCTGTGGGAAATATTAGCAGGCTGGTTTGATGCAGGTGGCGAGACCCGGCGGCTGGGGTTCCGGTGCAGTTTCAATGGGAGCTGGGTACCCAACATCAGTTGGATAAACCCCAGTCATTATTGTCATTAAAGCCTGAAGGCTTTAACAGGCAGTGATGCTGACTAGGTACTGTACGAATGGGTAAGACTAAGGCAGTCCTCATCTTGCAGAGCTGTCGAGTTTGGACCAAAGAGAGGAGAGAGAAGGACAGAGAGGAGTAGGGAGTGGAAGGGAACACAATAATTGTAACTTTGGCTTTGTCAGCAAATATTAGAAATCACTGCTTCTTTTCTAAAAAATTTGTCATGATGCACTACACTGAATTCCCTGATGAGCAGAAGAGCACCCAGGGCTTTCAGGCACATCCACTCCTGTCTCTCTCGTAAGGCGAGAGTGGGTTTTTGTGCTGGTGCTGGTGGTAACTACAGTTCGTTGCTAAAAGCTCTAGTGCCAGACCACTCTTCAGGGGGTTTCCATTTCATCAGCTTCCTGCCAGAAAGGGGCTGAATGTAAAACCATCTTGAGCGGTCGGGTAGCAGGTGAATCAGACCGGCCACGGGTGGGAGCCAGAAAAGCCCACTTCTGAGTGACCCCCCAGCCCCACGTGGAAAGTGCCGCGTTCAGTTTTCACACTTACCCTTCTGGGTGTTTAGAAAAATGGCAAACCCGTGAGGGTTTAACCACTGCCGAGCAGAACCGTCGTCACTGCTGAGGGTGCAGCGGAGATTCAGGTCCTCTCCTTCCTTCACAGTTATGGTTTCACTGCCAGCTCTTGGAAAATCCCCTGCCAGACATGAGGGGAAAAAAACAAGCATTAAAACATGACATGAAGTAACGCAACAATGTTTTGCACAGAGTAATAGGTCAACTTTCCTATTTTCAAGGGTGTAAAGGTTTTTTCTACGTTAGGCAGCTTGCCAGTGTGATTGTGTTGCCATTCGGTAAGTCATCGTAGTCACTAGGTAAGACTTGTACCAAAGGTCTGTGGTCTTCACCTGCCAGCGCAGCCAGATTTAATTATTTCACACAAGCCATTGAAAACTGATAGCAGAGCCTTTTAGTGCACGTTCTCCCTGTATGTTAACACAAACGTTAATTTTTGTATCTCATGTTCCATTCTGGAGCTGTCGAACCTGAAATGAGCAGTGAATGAGCAGCACTTCTGAAAAACGAGGCTTTTTTAATTCAGAAAGTGTAATGCTGCAGCTCCTTTGAACTGGCTTGAAACTTCTTTCGCAGGCAGGGTCCACAAACCTGGCCTGGCACAGGTTACTAAAATGAAATTTCATTCTCTCTCCTCCAAGTTCATTTTACAGACAGGCAGCAAAATGTGTTTTTCTCTCCAGACATTCTAAGATATAGAATACACTTTGTGAAAATATTTGACGACCTGGAATGAATTGCCTTCTCCAGAAAAAAGCATGCCCTGGAGAAATTGCTAAGAGCAGTGCCTGGGTCAGAGTTAAGTAAATAGGCAGTAAGAGGGTTTTATTCTTCATTCCTGTTTTGTGTGTTTTGATTTTATTTTCCAGGTAGCTTTCTGCTGCGGGTTCCTACTGTATACATAAGCACTGGAGTTTGGGGGAAATTAATCTTTCTGGGCTTCAGGAAAGCTTTTCATTTTCTTAAAAACATTTAAAAATATACCAGAAATGAAGCTATCGTAGGGCATTCTTGCTGGACCTGATCTTTTACCGGTAAAATTAGAGAAAGGGCTTATATCCCTGTAAGACAGTAGTTTCCCATGGGCATCTGTTGCTGTGTCTCACCCTTGAGTTGAGCACACACAACATTTCCTGGGCCAGAGGCGGCACGGAAGAATGGTCAGTGCTGTAGCTTGGGACTTCATAAATAGCAAATACGCCATGGACCTTTTCTCCTTCTTCACTATCTAACTTCTGGAGTCCATAAGCTTGTAGAAGGGATTTCCTTGTAATACATCAATATTTTTACTTCCGAATCTGCAAGTATGATGTATGCTGCTTTAGCAAACCTGTGCAAGACTGATCTGCTCTGTCCTTACTGCCCCATGCCAGGAGACACCACCAGCCAGGTTCGACTGAATCGCTGTACACCGGTGAAGCCCTGCTGAGTGGCCATAACTGATTTACCATTGCATATGGCACATGAGTGCCTTTGGCTTGTATTTCCTCTTGATTCCACCTCCATTTCCTAGGGTTAATGGTTTCTTGGGGCATGTGCCATGTGGGGGTCATCTGCAGAGGAGCGGTAGAAAAGGAAAACCTTGCATGGGTTTGACTTGTGAAGACCTGTGTCAGGAGGCGCATGTTGTTAAGGCAGCAGAGAGGGCCTTTGTGGTTTTCCATGGGGCCCTTCAGCATTTTCTCGTAGCGATAGTTTCCTGTCACTAACAGCAGTGTGGGGTCTTTCAAGTCGCACCTTTCGAGGTGAGAACAGCGAGAGTGAACAAGAAAAGGTGGGGGTGTTGCTTGCTTTTTGAAAACACAAAAAAGTAATCCCCAGAACAGAGCATATACATAATTTCCGTGAGAGCCCATGGCTTCATTCAGACCATGACTCACAGGTCAAATTTCTTTCCTTGTCTAGGGGGCAGACTGAGGTGGCTGTGGTCTTCAAGCCACCCTAGGCCACCATGGTACAGTCTCTGGGGCGTGGGAGATGCTCCCATGCCAGCCCCAGAGGACAGTGTTTCTTGTGTCATGGGGGTTCCAGGTGCCCCATCTACCTGGGAAAGTTAGTCTGGCATGAAGTATAGTGATATATCCACCTTCTGGGCAAGAAAGGGCAACAATTTCTTGCTAGAAATTGCAGGATACAACTGAGCAGAATGGTTCGTGCCTCTGGCTGCTGTTATTTCAGCCATCAGAAAGTGCACAGAGGACTTGTTGTGGTGATATGCACTCAATGCGTTGTTTCGGAGTTATCTTTAAAACTGGAACCTATTCTCGTGGTTTAACCCCGGCTGGCAACTAAGCTGAGACACCCTGTTTAATGAGTTATTTTTGACCTGTGGCTGCTGTCCTGCAAGTCTGAATTAATTCTGACAGCCAAAAGCAGCTAGCAGTTGTCAGCAGGTACAAGTTCATCACGCAGGAGTCTGTGGCGACACTGGGGAGAGGGGTTGTATGCTCAGAGTGGAAGCTGCTGATTTGGAGCAAGTGAACTGCAAGTGCTCGTTCAGCTAGAATATAATTGACAGCTCCTTAAGGCCTGGCTTCTGTTAAAGACAATCAATGGTAATAAAATATCCTAAGCACACGATATTACAGAATGCTTTGTCACTGTTCAGGCACTGAGATTTGATGTGGCCTCTGTTAACAAGACCTTTTTGTGCGAAAGTGTTAGCAAAGTGTTAGCAACAGCACTGCTATGGTTTCTGCTCCAGCATTTGTTACGACGGAAGAGGGACCACTGCTTGGGCCAGGACCAGGCTCGTGCATGCATTCCTTCTGCAAAGGAGTGAAGCCTGCAAGAACCTTGAGCTGTAGACAGCTGTCGTGCTGCTTTCTTTACTTAAATCCTTCCCTATTTGACATGGTCAAATATGACTCTTGTACTCTCCCATGTATGAAAAACAGGAGATTAGCAAAGTAGGTATAAGCTACACCCTCTAGTAGGAGCAAGGAGATTGAGCATTGAAGTGCTTTTCATTTTCAAAGTACTTTGCAAGTGCTTTCTAAGTTACTCTAACTTCTTATATTAGTCTCTTTTCACACAATACATGAGCAAAGGCATACACAGATATCTAAGCCATGGAGAGTAAGCAGTGATCCGCGGTCCAAATTTCAGGGAGAATCTTTTGATTTCCCAACACTTGGCCATCTCAAGCATGCCGCCAGCTGCGAGGAGGTGAACTGGTCTCATCGATGCTGGGTTTAGGAGTCAGCTGGAATTCAGCACCAGTGTGCTTTGGAAATTGCGTGGCAATACGGCATTGACAACAAGAAAACAACAACAGCAAAGCCGCCTCGCGTGAGGTGCGCTGAAACTCTAGAAATTGCGTTCTCCAAGCTGGTTACTGCTTGCAAAGGGCAGATCGTGTAAGACAACGCGTATCGCTTACCTTGCATCAGGAACAGAGCCGCGACGTGTAGCACCCTGGCGACAGTCATGCTGGGCTGTGGGCGCAGGCTGGCTGTGCTGACTTCCTCTCTCTGCCGGGGCCGTGGCGCAGCCGGTCCCTTTTCAGCACGGGGGGAGCAGATTTACCATGACTTCATCACTGCTGGGGTCTCTACCTCCGCTCCTTCTCTCTGCTGTTCCACTCTCTTCTCCCCTTCCCCCCCCCCCATATTTCCTATGTGTTGGTGATCGCTGAGAAACCAGTGACCTCACAGGTCCCTAAAATGGAACTGGTGGGTGACAGGACTGGGGACACTTCACCTTGCACCCCCTCCAGCTCTGCCTTTCTTGGCATTTGTGTGGGGGGGAGTTGTATACGGGGGGGAAGAAGGTAAAGAGAAACATGGGCCTGGGGTAACCCCCTGGGGACCCCTGCTGCAGCGAGCCTCCAGGTGCACTGTGTGCAGGATTTCATTCCCCGGGATGGGGAGGCACCTCAGGAAGGCAGAGCGTGTTTGGTGGGCGCTGCTGTAGTGCAGTAGTTGGTGAGGTTGCTTAAATCCCTGGGAAAAAGTCTCGTGTCACTCTGCATCTCGTACCGCTGTGTGCACGGGAGGTTTGCACTGCTCTGCTTGCAGGGATCCTGGCAAACCAAGTAACGAGAGCAAGGTCATTCACTGTGTGTGGTTTGTGGCTCTCCGGGGAACGAAGGGTATCGGTGAGGTGGTTGTGAGAGGTTCGCTGAGCACCGAAGCACGGTGCGGAGGGATGACTACATCAAGGAGGTCCCAGAGGACCGGTGGCAGAATCTGGGTTTCCTGAGTCCTCTTGCAGGTCTGATTGTTTCAGGAGCAATCTGAGCCATAGCAAAGCTTTTTGTGTCTCCCAGGTGTGCAATGTCCAGTAACACCACAAGGTTTATCCAAGCCTGTTGTTGGCAGAGCCTCTCCATGATGTAGCCACGTCTGCTGATTTCTAAAAAGGCTTCGGCAGATCCCCTTCTGGCACTTCTCTGCAACTGCCCCATACTTAGTGCAAACGACTTGTACTGTCCAAATGAGCTGACTTATTAAAGTTAAGATATATGGCTTAAAAACTGCGCATTTGCAGGACATGGGTTTAAGTGAACTGGACAAAATGGTTAATTATAAATACATTATGCATTTCACTTCTAATTTATTAGAACTTGTTTGTGTTAAACTTTCAGGTGCATGGATGGGTCATTCTGTTAGTCTGTATTTGATTGATAAAAGCTATGGCTTTTATGTTAATTGTAATATAACCAGCCTTACTGGAAAAACAGAGTTGCAGGCCATAAAGTTTAATGTAGATAGTTGGTTTGAAAGGAAAGAGTCTCACTGGCTGATAAAACTACTGCTGGACTAAAAAATTCAGGTCAAGAAAGAAGTTACGCGTTGTAAAGTTTAATGTTGTAAAGTTTAAAAGTTGTGCTTCCCGTTCCACACATCTAAACCTGACACTAAAATAACTCTGGGGGCAAAAAGTCATCAAGCAGTAGAGGCACTGAAGCCTCCCGCCACCAAGCCCTCGGGAAAACTCCCTCCCTGTGCAGTAGAAGGAAAACCAGACTTGAGATGGGTTTGTGCCATCTGCTGTCAAATAAATGAACTTCATCTTCGGCGGAGGGAAGGCGAATGTAGCTGATTCCCCTTTCTCCTTGATGCTTCTGAGGCTTACACCCCATCCTGGCAGGCATCCCAAAATGGGATGGGGTGAGGGCAGCACTGCAGCCCAAACTGAGGAACAGCCCTGACTCCCTTTTTGTTTCAAGGTCCCAATAGAGCTCTTCTCTGGGCATATGCCCAGTACAGGTATTTTTTCCTACCTACATCTTGCTGGAGTGACTGAAAATACTGCTGAGGTGCACCCCAGCAATTCACAGGTCCCTCCAAAGGGGCGCTTCATTGAAGGGCTGTGTCGGAATATTCACTCCGGCGAAGTCCAACACGCTTGAGAGGAAAACTTACATAGGAAGGGCGAAGTATGGGTGCGTGGCATCTTTATTAAATCATCTACGAAACATCTTTGTCCGACTTCCGAGAAATCCATTTAATGTCATAAGCAAATTAAAATGCAGTGGTTGTTTTAACAGTTGTTAGCACTTGAAACTGAGATTAAAAACAACCAACCAACCCCCCCCCCAAAATAAAAAAATACAGATGTCACAGGTAATTACAGCTATTTTTGGCAATACAATTATTGGGTTTTTTAAACAGCAAAACATTTTTCTCAAATAAATACAATCTGCTCACACTAAAAAACATAATAAACAGAATGATACAACAGGTTTAAAATGGAAAAAAAAAAAAGTATCCATTGATAACATCAAGTTTTAAGAGATGTCCACAGAGAGAAACTTCAGAAAATACATCTTAATGGGAAGTAATAGAAAGGAACTGGCTGTGTATTTTCTGTTATGTAGCATGTATGGTTCGTGAATATTCCCCAGGGAACAAGTATTTGAGGAAGTGGTGAGAAGTAAGTAGCGATTTAGAGTATGTGCAACCCATCACACTTGCTGCTTAATCTTTTTTGTCCATTCATTCACCGTTTTAAGTGTGTCTGCTACCACCATCATTTCATGTATATTTTTAAAGTCCAAATAATTTTCTCTGTGCTTAGGCTCTTTTTAAAAACCAAAACAAACCACAAACCAAACCTATTAAGGCTCCCTTTCTAAGCAAGAGTTTTCGTACGGAATTTCAGTACGTTTTCAGTTGTGAAGCATCATAAATTAATTTCTGGCTCTGGGTTTAAATGAGGGCTAGTCAACTACAGCCTAACTCAGTATCTAGAGTCCCTCTTTTTGAAATGAGTGTGAGTATAATCAGACCCTAAATCTCACCCTACTTCTGCATGCGTTTCTTAAATCAGGGCTGGAAGGGCTCAACCCTGCACAGATACGAGTCCTCCAAATTCTGCATTAAGCCAGTGGCAGGTGGGGGGGAGCAGCCCATGGTAGGATCAGGCTTTGCACGGCTTCATCCCAAGCCTGAGGAAATCATGAGCAATCTTCCTCTTTGTTTCCCTGGGCTCTGGATCAGGCCGTTGGAAGGAACCACGGGACCAAGAGGGAAAAGTTTATGACCCTCACACCCAGTGCAGCACCCAAGTTTGTGGCAGTGCTCTACACGACCCCCTCCCCATCCGCTCACCCTTTTTTCCAAGCGCTGCTGCTATCGCACGGTCAAAGATGACCCTGAGCTATTGCTACCTGGAGGGCTCAGAGCTAGGGATACAAAATAATACGCTGGGAAATAGTGCTCTAGCATCCCTTCTACCTTCCTTATTTTGCAGAATTACTGCTTGCGTTGCCTTCACTAAAGACAATTCCTGCAGAATTCTTGTAAAAAACCAACCATGTATTTGGTGATGTAAATTATCACTTTCCGAGTAACGTTGACACTAGAAGTGAACACCAGAGGAGAGGAAGAGGCTCGTACCATCAGCTAACTTCTTTCTGAAACTGTTCAGACTGAGTGAAAAGGGAAATAGGTGTTTGGGTTTTTTTCTGAAGTTATGGCCTGGATCCTCTGTTTGCATAAATTAGCAAAGCTCTGTTGATTTGAGTATACGCTGTCAATTTACACTCACGGAGAACCTGGCTCTGTGCTGAGGGGATTTAAGTATTTGGCTGTAGCAGCCACTGCGCTGAATGCAAGGGAAACATGTGAAACTTTAGACCTGGCACCTGCGTTAAACCAGCAAGGTGACCCCCGGCAGAGCTCAAGCCTTGGGCATGCTGCAGCCCCCTCCCAGCCGTTTCAGCAGAGGGCAGTATGAAGTCCAGTGATAAGGACAAACTCTTGGTCAAACCCAAACTTTTTCCAATACCCTGGTTTTGCCCTTCTGGTGCTGAGCGTCACCCCCTCAGCTGCTGCTGTGCTAGAATTTGATTCTGCACTTTGATTCTTGTATTTTTCTAGCCCAACCCTGAAGTTGCAGTTTATGAAAACACGGGATGAACAGCTTACTCTTGGCAGATTTCCAGCTTTATTCCTTAATTGGGAAGAGAGGGGAAAAATGTAGGAACTGCTATTTGCCTCCTATACCCTAATTAAACTGTTGGGATCTGATGCAGCTCACAGTGAAGGCAAGCAGAAGACTTGCACCCCCTTTAGGTAGATCAAGTCGACTGTTCTTCTGGGACAAAACACTGAAGTGACATTAAATACACATTAATGAGCAGCAATGGAGTGGAAGTGAAGCAGCAATTGTTTTGTATTCTTAACATCTCGGTTAAAAATTTAAAAGGAACACCTTTCTTTTTCTTTTTTTTTTCCCCCCAACAAGCCTTATCAACATGAGACTATAACACCAGCCCCCTATGAGAAATCAAAATGCTAGAAGAAAATAAGATTTTTCTTTCTGAGATTCTTGACACCTGAAAAATCTAATTTGAGATAAGACTACAGTTGTCAAAATACTTTCCCGAACATCCAAAAATAGACTCTTTTTTTTTTTTTTAAGAGCATATTTTAACATCTACCTTCTCAAACAGAACGTTCTTTTTCTACATTACTATATGCAAAGATCAGCTAGTACAATATTCAAATTGTGCATTCAGGTTTTCTTCCCTCTCTGTTTCGTGCTTCTGTCTAAATAAACTCCTCGTAATGTCGCTTAATTGTAGTAGGACCTGAGCAGCCTCCGCTGTTTTGTATAGGCAATATATGTTGCCTCAAATTACATCTGGCTGGCCCATAGCGTGAAACAAAAAGCAGCCCAGAGAGTTACACGTGCCTCAGTAACCAAATTAGTTTTGGTGTGATTGTCATCTATTTAGTTTTAAACTCTTTGCAAATTTGCAGTGAGTAAGCATGGAGGAAAACAAGCCAGAAATGCTCTTCAGAATGTCTGTACACAGCCAAAAATAGTTTAAATTACAGTTAAAAACCAAAGTGACAGCAGCGTAACTGCACGGGAGCAGTTTCTTCTGTCATAAGTTATCTCCCTGACTTTTCGGTATACATCCCTGGTACAATAATGCACTTCTGAATGGCCTACTGTGTATTACATAGTCATAAAT